ATAATATATATATATATATATATATATATATATATATATATATATATATATGTGTGTGTGTCTGTGTGTGTGTGTGTGTGTCTACATAAATATTTATTTTATTATATATATGTGTGTGTGTGTGTGAATGTATATGTATGCATATGTATATGTATATATATATATATATATGCATATATTCATTTCTGTGTACGCGTACACAAGTGTGTGTACTTGTACGTGTACACACACACACACATATATATATACATATATATACATTCATAAACATATACATATACATATATATGTATATGTATGTGTACATGTATGTATACACACACAGAGAGAGAGACACACACACGATACGCACATGTGTACTCACACGTGTATACACTACATATACATAATGTTACAAAAACAGATTTGGTCGATGCCTGTCGCGATTCGACAATATACAAGTGTAAATATCTTTTTATTTATTAGTTTATCATGTATTTAGTAGTATTTGTTTTTATACCCCACTATTAGACTAAGGGCCGGAATAACCATATAGGGTTTTAGGTAGGGGTTCAGGTCGTCCGGTTCCCACATATATATTTATGTAAAGTTGTAAATAACCCTTCGTGTACATAGATTTTTGGTACACATACATACATATTTGCGTGGTCCCGTATATTTACGCATACTTGGGTCTAATTCTCTATCTACATTACCTTGTTCCGGGAACCTCAACTCGAAACTGATTTATATCTGCGAATTGAAAGCGAGTCATCAAATGGTAAACTGTCACTAGCGATGGTCAACGCCTCAACGCGTTACCATGACGGAAGGTTTCCAGGGTAACATGAGTTTGTTTATACTTTAGTTGTCATCTCCGGCTTCCTGTGTTCAACCGGCTCTCCACCATGATATCAGCGAGACAAAAGTAAGGTCAAGAGCTGAGGCTTTCGACTCCTACCTTCATCTAGTATATGTTGTAAGTTATCCGTGATCGATGTTGAAACGATTGCACGGTCCTGGATATAATAACTATGTTACATCTTCCATCATCAAATAAAAGAGTAGTTATGGGCAAACAAAATGCCTACAGGCTTTGATTACTTACTATTTCGGTTCTCTAGAACGTAAAAAAATACCATAGACAGAGTCCCAACACATTGTAGGCTGTAATCTATCCGCCTGCTGGCCCAGTACATGGAGAATATGCATGCTATACTCAGCCAGTATTCTGACAGCAAGGCCATGGAATAAGCAAGCGTGGATTGTACTCTAAAGGTGTCATCTTTCATTATGTGAGTCATGTGTTAGAAAAAATTGACTGTAGTACACTAGAGCGTTTGGTCCCCTATAGAATCTTTTTTTCGTATTCATGCTTGAAAGTTTATGTATACTTCTCCTAGGTTATTTCACTACAATGTAAGCTACTATATGTGTACCAGTGTGTTTTAGCTACTCGATACAGTACTGAGCCCGTACTCCTTGCACACAGGTTGTTTCGATCACAAACATATCTTTCGCACACGACAACACATCCAATCGCAGTCTGGTGTGCTGCACAATAGAGCTTCGATATAGGCGTAGTGCTACTGCCCCTATCGAGTGCTCAATATTATGCGAAGACTATGGTAGAGGCACGTAACGGTGACCCGCGTGATCCTCAGGCGTGGCCTCATTTTGGGCGACATTCCTTTTGATTCCCGAATTGGGAGGCGAATCGTCATAAAAGATGCTCGCTTTGCTTTACTCGTAGTCATATTGTTGTATTTATTAATCCTATACACAGAGCACGCAAACGATTTATATGTATGTATAAATATAAGTATGTACAAACCCTACTCACCCCGCCCCTCTTTCAGTTTGGGCTCTCTCGGTGCGACCTCTCTCGGTGTACTCCCGCTCCGTGCCAAAACAGCTGACATTCTGCGATCGATTAACCATATTATGCTTGGCAAAAAATCCATGATCTGTTCATCATCCGTTTGTTTGCTGCAAAGGCCTTGTAAGCTTCGGTGTGTATGAAGTCACTCAGCAAATTTCGACTTATCATCAAACTAATCTCGTTGTACGCTTCCTGGAATAATACTGTAATATCCTCATTGTCTTTCTCTTCGATTCTCTTCAATAGCCTATCCCGAAGTATCTGTGGCAGATTCACTTCTCGCTCGCTCTCGGGTCGAACGTACATTGCAGCTATAGCTTCTACGCCTTCTTCGGTGTTCATATAACACTCATCCACAGTATTACCCGTGTGGTTGTGGGTATTCTCAGTTTCAAAGATTGTTCCCGTTCTACGCGCATTGGGCCCTACACCCTCATTGAGACCGTGCAGCGCGAGAAGAAACTGCATTTGTTCTGGGCGGTGTCGCCTGTGACAGTATGCCAGCATCAGATCCCTCGGGTGTTTTAATAAAGTGCAATTGAAGTAATTTTCGTCAAATGGCATCAATATTAGAATCGCTTGCCAGAAGTGTGTACGCTGCAAGAATGATTGCTAGTGCTAGTTCCTCATCGTACATTTGTAAACGCCATTTTCTGAAATAGTACATCTTTCCAAATCCACACGAAAAACACAAAGTTCAGTAGTTAAACTCGCCCCTTTTGGTATCTGGAGAGCGCTACCAAGTCCTTTGTCTGTTCATTCGCACAGAAAAAGCCGCCTTCCAAGTCCAACTGGTTCAAAAGCCCACGCGACGAGAATTGTCTCGACAACACGCGAACAACTATGAATAGAAAGTTATCTATATTAAATAACCACGCAAGAAACGGGCCCACAAGCCATGTTAGATACGCAATTTGCGCTTCTTGACTTTCGTCGGCGTTTAAAGCATACAGTACGGGGTCCCAGAATCCGAAAAGAATAACGATGAAACAACGCAGATTTCCTTGCCAGTCAATGAAGTACGAGGATGCGCGGCGTGTATATGTCAGATAAAACGTATATTCGACGACCAGGAATAGACCGTAGAATACGGCACCCGAAAGCCTTTGAGCAGTGTTGCATTCCACATCGGCATACAAGCATACGCATTCGGAAAGAACGATTACCGGAAACAATGCCACATGGAGGATAGTATCGTACCAGTAGTTGGGTTTATAAGATCGTCGATGAAAGACCATGTATATGAAACGCATGCGCGAGACGACAGCCGAGAAGAACATAGCTATTCCAAAGAACAGACCCAACTTAAGCCATAGGTTCAGATTTTTAAAAGCGGGTGTGGTGGTTCCGGATGTCAATGAAATCACATCCACACTTGTGCGTTGCAATACTGCAGCGGAGTGCGCTATACCCATTGTTGCGCACATAAGGACGCCAAAGCAGAAGTGGATAACGAACCCATGATGACGTGATTGCACCTCGGACGCATCCGAATATAAATAGAAAAAGAGGACTAAACCAAGCCCGAATGAGAGTGTACACACCAGCGCGACTAAGGCCAACGCAAAAACTTTTCTCAGATTATTATCTACCCCTTACAGTATGTCTGCCGCGTAGGCTTGCTGCAGTTCAGCGACGCTTCCTACGGCATTCGTCATGAGGTAATACCACAAAACCAGACAGCCGATAGGTATCGGGTATACGCATAAATATAGAATCCAAGAATACATTTGAGACAATTTCAGTGACCGCGCCTCTTTTTTTTCCCTGTCCTTGCCAGCTGTGTTGTGTGTTGAATTTACATTTTGTGTGACAACACGCTTTAGCTTGTCAGTGCGCAGTTGCTGCGAGACATTGAGTTTTGAATAATAAATCGAATGAAAGCGTTAGGAGTTTCGGTATTGATCGAGTTGTATCATCAAAATAGGAGTCGTGAGTTTCAATTTTGACGTAACACTTGATACCGGCCACGATTGATGACTACCTTTGTATTCTGGAATGTCGAGATACTACCGCCTTAACAACGGTCAGCATAGCTTCAGCTAATTCGTTTTTGTGAGTGGAATGCGTTAAATTTGGCTACACTGTCCCATATTATGGAGTGTGATAAATCTCAATATATTGTAAGAGACAATTTTGATTTGGTTCACATCTGTAGTAGCGTCGGAGCTACATTCACTGCTTTGATTCAAAATAAGCAAAAATCATTGTAACTTTCATAACATGAACGGAGATATTTGAGAGCATACAAGATTTTCGATGCATCTCATCTCGTTGCATGACACAGTGAGCAATTTGAAACACATCAGTTCTACAACACGTCTAGAGTACACCTTTTCAACGAAAGCAAATACTCCGTGATATACTGTATTACACACTAGCTTAATTTTGGGAAGTAGGGCATCAACACTACGTAAGAATATTAATGCAATATCTCATACACAAACTCAAATTTTTACAGGCATCGTTTCATCGTATGTATATTGCTTACCGACAGTGGTCTGAATTTTTGTGTCGACTTCTTTGTGATAGTGTCGAGTGACTGGTCTTTCGAAGTGTCTTCTGACGGATCAACAGCTCGAATGTCTACTTCAACAGCTATCCCATCCTCTAGTGGCTCAGCAAAGCTCAACGCTGCGCTCTTGTCAGCGACATAAGAATTCGAAGGATTCTCCCTCGTATTTACCATTGTATTGCACCCTATGTTACTTGCTGGCCGTTCACTCAATTCTGTTACTTCAGCACTGTCAGCAATCTCATTTATCTCTGCCATCCTACCATTTTCGACAGCTGGGTGTTTTGTGCTGTCGCCAGCACGTTCAGACATGATGTTCACGAGTAATAATTGGGTAAAGATTTGAAAGCATGCGCAAAAATAATAGCAGGACCAGCTATGAACTAAGATCACAACTTGGTTCTATACTTATATAAATGGTTTTTTTGGTGGCGGTGCATTTTTTTTTGGATTCCTTTGAGATAAAAGTCGAAGCATCATACCCCCCCTAAAGTTGTGCATTGATACGTGAAAATATTTACAACAAGAGATGATAAGACGTACTCTTATTCAATCGAGTAAATATGATTTACTTTGGAATCAAATTTTGATACCTATTGCTTTGGTCAGATGGAAATTCGAAGATCTGAATATGGTCGACAAACCTGTCTGTTTGAGTCTTTGAGATTACAGGGAGGCCATTTATTTCGCAACTTGCCACTCCGTTTCGAAATAGCATTCATTCAAGAGACATAAATATAACAAAGTTTTTCAATCCTTCCATGTAGCTTTTTTTTCCCTCTAAATAATGTTCGAGAGAAGCTATATATATGTTCACTTTTCCCTCTGGACCGGATAATGTTTGATTGTGAGGTAAGCTATAAATATGTTAACAGCTGCCAAATATTGTCTGTTCATAAATAATTAAATGTCGATGCTTCATGTCGATGCTTCTATCGTCAACCGCAGATTGAGATGGACTTTGTCACATTTGTTTTTTTTTGAAAAATATAGTGAACTTTTATTTTGTTTTTTATAAAAAATATTCAGACTACATATCAGATATTTAAAAATAATATCATACAATGTAACTTTTCGGTCATTTGTCTCCTTTCCAACTTGAATAGTTTTATTTTATCAGCTTAATATCTGATGTTGATTCGTTCACCATATATAGATCCCAGGATACCAAGTTACCAACTATCTCATTCGTCTACAGGTCTTTCATTTAACCCCCAGTTTGGCAGTTCCCCACTTCCCCTGTCCCCGCTGCCCCTCCCCCCACTCCCAGTGCCAATCCTATTTTAAAATAGTGGGCAAAAATTTAAAAACCACATAAAAGCATAGTTTCTTTAATATACTATATTAGACTATATAGCCACTAGGCTATATACTCGCTACTACATAGCCTACTGATGACAATAAATACATATAATAAAGTTTAACAAAAGTGCAAAAAATCTGTATGTTTCGCGGATACATTCTTATTTCCACACTATTTTATTTGATAAATATACGAGTTTGCAAATATATCATCCAATTTAATCTGAAGATATTAGATTGAGGGCATACGAATGTATATCTGTATACGTTTTTACAAATCAATGAAACGAGGATGATGTACATAAGATTTGAAGGGAGGGAGCCTTCACTGTGCATGGCTAAATATAGCTGTGTGCATTTATATGAATACGATTGCTAGTGAATTCTGTGTATTTTTTACTCGCTGATGTAGGCAACGGAAATGCAAGGCATTCCCATACATTCACAGAGATGATAAAACACAGTTTTCAAAGATCGGGTGGTGTAAGCAAGACTAGTGTGGCGCGCTCTAACTGAGAATATATTTGTCATATTATTGGAACGATGACGACTGAGGCAAACAGCTGAAAATGATGTGAACAGAACTTGCCGATTTAAGCTGATCGCCAAACGCTGATAGCCAAACAGAAAAAAATGGTGAATCTACTGCATTCTCGCTAGCAAGTAAAGAAAAACATAGACAAAAGTTGAATTGTTCTAGATGGAAAATTAGTTGAAATCGATGGCAAGGCAAATCGAAAGTGGGATAGTTGAATACGATTATAATGACACACGGTTATAAGAGACTGGAACGACGCTTTTACGGACATAATCAGTTCCTTTTTGTATTTATCAAATTCCCTCGCCTCGCTCAGTACAAAAGAACAGGCATATTGAACTCTACCGGAATGTGAGGGCAAATTGCTAAAACCCTGCGTGGTAGATTGAAAAAGATGTTATATGCTAGTTGTAGACTGTTTTACCTTTCGGTTGAAGCCAGGTTTTGAACCCTTTCCGAGTTTACTTTTCTAGCATAATCCAACATTTTCGGTCAAACATATTAGCCGCGAATTAACTAGCATTAAAGTCGGTTCCCAAAATATTTAACCAGCAATTTACGCCGCGGCTCATCTCTTGATTGGTTGCTTTGGTCTGAGGAAATAACTAATGATGCAACTACGATATGATGGAGTTTAATCTCATTAAGGCCCTATTTAAGTACTCAAGCAGAACTAGATATGTATTTTTTATTTATCTATTTTTTTAAAAATAGCAGAAACCTCCACAAGAGGCTATGATAAAACATGATGTCGAACCTTATAGACCGATAAAAACCCTACAGTTGTGTATCTAAAAAAATTGTATGAAAAAATGCGTCACAAGTGACTGAAAGTCTGAACTCATTGTCGTGAACTCGTGACACACATGACGTGCGACTGGTTGTGAATCTTGTGAGATAGATGCTGAGCTCAGTGAGCAGACTTGATTTCGGACAGAGAGAAGGGCTGTTGAAGTTTGAACTCGGCTTGTGGACAGACACAACTATCAACAGCAAACCAGACACTAAAAATTAAATATCATATTTCCTACGAAAGAAGAAGATTATGATGACGAACGAAGACGTATCTTTAATTCCCCGTCTCACGTGTGCTGTTCCAGGGTATGTGGTGTATACACCACCTTAGTGCGAGGTCAATTGAGAAATATTGATATCAAGCGTTGTGAACTTTCTTTCTTCATAGCAACATGGTGCCCATAAAAGGTATATATGCACACGTGCTTACACACACATGCATATACGCGCACACACACACATACACACACAA